TGTGAAAACAATAATTTTGTAGATTCAGAAGTATTATGGTCCATTAAAAAGAGAAAAGTAGAATCATAAAGAATATATGTAAATCCAGGAAGAGGACATAACTGATTTTTTTCTTACCACATCAGCACTGTGCAGGAATATAAGAAGCTTCTTTGAATTAAATGAGTTGGATAGTCTCTCTCACATGTACATTTTTAAATCCAACTAGAACTAATGACAAAGACATGCCATAGATATGATAGAAGCACATTTTATTGCTTAGTAACTTAGATGCGAATTGTACAACTGTGCATGTAAAACAATTTCATAAAGGTTTATTGAGGTCATGAAAATCACGTTTAGGTGAACCAGTAAGTGAGGAAAGTTAAAGAACATACTTGAAGGAATGAATCAAGATTCAGGTGAGAGAATTCTTAAAAGTCATATATTCTAAACCGGTATTGGTTTAGTTGTAAATAAAAGGAATCCAACCTGAAGCGATCTCATTAAAAAAAGAAAAAGAAAAGAGGAAGAAAAGGAGAAGGGAAGGAATTTAGCAGCTTATAGGGTTGAAGAATGGATTCCGCACCCAAACCATGGACAGGCCTGAATATAGTTAGGCTCCCGGAGCAGCTGGGGCAGGGCTGTGAGTGCTCCCAGGAGCACCTCTCCAACTTCTGCCTTTTTATTTTCTCTCTGCAAGAGTCACTTTTTTAAATGGTGGAAATGTGTCCCCGAGTTCTTAAGCTTTACATCTTTCAGACAGTGCAGAGGGACCAAAGGATTTCCTTTTTACATTGAATAAAAAAAAAGTTTAGAAAAGAATGCACTGGTGCAGGTTGGACAGGTCACCAGTAGCCAAGATTAGCAGTTTGCATCACAGTTCTCCCCTGGGACAGTGAACTGTAACAAGAGTGGAGCAAGAAGTGTGGAGCGGGAAGTAGTCTGGAATAACATGGTACTGTAAAGTGGCCATGTAGACAGGAACACACTCTGGGAGAAGTGGAGGCATCACTGGAATGCCCAAAATAAAAACATGATCACTTTATAGATAAGTAAGTAAAGAGATGAGTTGGTTTGTTTTAGCTGATATGTCAAAGTAGTAAAACAGCCAGAGCTTAACAAATAAACATCCAAAAGAAGATGGATATTGATTGCTTTCAGCATGAACTGTATTGTTTTATATATGTACTTATATATAATACTAGAGGCTCAGTGCACAAAATTCATGCATAAGTAGAGAACCTAGCAGCTGCCAGTTGAGGCCTTCCTTCCTTCTGTACCACCCTCTGGTGGTTGGCACACATCATAGTTAATTATCGAACTCCCAGTGGGTCAAACTCCCAATGAGACACTTTGCATATTAGGCTTTTATATATATAGATAACCACCTCATTTTTCAGATAAACAAACTGAGAATCAGAGATCAAGGAAATTTGCTAAGGCTACATTGCTACTTAGTGTCAGAGCTAGGATTTATACATAGGTTTGTCCAATTCCAAACCTGTGCTCCTTGAAAACAATAATATTAATAGTATCTGGATGGTCTTTATAAAATGGATATATGCTCATTATAAACATTTTACATAACATAGAAAAATATTTGTTATGTTTAACACAGAATGAGTAAACACCCCAATTGCCTCCACCTAGAATTGAACATTATTGACAAAGAATAATATCACTTTTACATATCACTAAAAACATATCCCTAAGAAAAAAGCAATTTTTAAATAAAAATGGCACATCAGACCATGTATCTTATCTTTAAATAAAATCATCTAACATTTAATTTTTCTTGAATTTTTACAAAATATATTTTTATTGATTTCAGAGAGGGAGAGGGAGAGTTAGAAATATCAATGAGGACAGAGAATCACTAATTGGCTGCCTCCTACAAGGGGTCCAGACAGCAACCCAGGCATGTGCCCTTGCTTAGAATCAAACCCAGGACCCTTTAGTCCACAGGTCAATGCTCTATTCACTGAGCCAAACCAGCTAGGGCTAATTTTACTTGAATATAACGGAAAAAACATTAAAGAATTGCTGAACCTAGATTTTTTCTTACTACAAAAATATTCTTAATCTTACAAAGTTATAAAATGTAGAAAAAAAAGGGAATCACTTTTTAAATAAACTATGTTTCAAAATTTGATAGTATTGCCTCCTGCTCTAAAAATAAATATGGTGCACTTATAAAGTTATAATTTTGATGAGTTCTATTAATATTATATTTTCAAGACTTACATTTGTATCTGTTTGTAGCCGTAATTTCCATGGTTTACTCTTAAATTCTATTACTTACATGAATTTCAAGCTTATCAAAGTATTTCTTACCAAACTTCTCCCTTACTGACTTTCTGCTTCATATCTTGGTTTTCTGGAGTTCATTATTGAATAAATCCTCTTTTCCCAAGAAATATGTAAGACAGAATGTCTGTTGCCCTTTGATTTTGGTTTCTAGCAGATTTTAAGAGCCATTCCTAGGAAGTTTGGAGGCACCTTGAATCTGTAGCTTAAAGACTTTCATCAGTTTTGGAAAATTCTCAGTCATCTCTCTCCAAATATAACTTCTGCTCCATTTTTTTTTTCTTTTCTCCAATTGGATTCTAATTATACATGAATAAGAATTATTGTAAGTATTATGTCTCTTATACTCTGTGTGCTTTCTTTCTGTCTCTCCATTTCTTTCTAAAATATCTTCTAGTTCACCATTTTTAGCTGTGTATAATCTGCTCTTAATCCACTGAGTTTTTAGTTTGGGTACTATGTCTTTTAGTTCCAGAATTTTTGTTTTATTCTTTATAGTTTTCAGTTCTTTTAATTTCTTGAACATATTTACAGTATTTTTCTAAATATTGCATAGGTATTTTTTTATGGTGTATTTTTTTTTATTTAAAAAATTATGCCTAATCGCTTCATGACTGGTTATTTGCTGATTTATTTGATTATATAGCAATAGGAGGAGAAAAGTACCAATAATGTCCTCATTTTAAAGTGAAATAAAAACTCAGATTAAAAAGCATGCTCAAGTTCATATATTCAGCTAATATATGTAAACCTGGAATCAAACTTGTTTCTTTCTTTTTCTAATTCCAAACCAGTAATGTTATTTACATTGCTATACAACGTCCTCCTCAGTGTAACACCTGCAAGAGTTGCATGACCATACTTTTCCTGTGACAGAATGACTCATACCATGCTTGTTTTACAAATCCTCACCCTGTGCAAGGCAGACAAGTATTAATATTATTGGCCAAAGCCTAAAGATGGAGTTTAATGAACAGAAGCTATTACTTGAGAATCATAAATGGAACATGTCCTCTTGTTCAATTTCAGTTTTATATTCTAGTGTCTGGGCAGTGATATAGTTAGTAAGTCATATGCTAACATTTATTTTATTTTATTTTATTTTTAGTTTTTAAGATAAAGAATTGCCTAAAAAGTGGTGATATTACCAAAGAAGCAACTTTCTACTTTGCATATCATAACATTAAATTTTATTTTTCTCCTTTGCTTTCTAAAAATTTTAATAGATTGAGAAAAGAATCAGTGGCCAAAAAGTCTGTGAAGAATTTTAAGGTCCATCTAAATGATAGGTATAACAAAGTGCAACCATTGCAGCTTGCATAATTAATTCTATTGAACTTTTAATGTTTAGGTAACCAGACTTAAAAAATTTATTTTTAGTAAAATTTATTTTAGTATTCCTGCAGATTGTGTTATGTGTTATCAAACATTAGTTGGAAATAGTATCTATAAACAGATGAAATTTGAGAATATAATATAAAAAGTTATTCTTATTATATTATACAATCCAGCCTCTTTAGAATATGATGCTGATTTTTACAAAACATGCTTCATTCAACATGAGACATATGGCATTGTGGTTCTGAGGAAAATATATCTCCGATCACAATTTCTATCATTAACTTTATATTTATCCAGCACCTTACAAATACCTTTTACATTTTAATGTTTATGCATTACTATTATAGACTGTTGTTTACACAAAAGTATCTATTAGAATACTGCAGCAATCACAAAAACTAAATAGAAAAAATTACATTAAAATAAATATTATAGAAACAATTTTCAGTTATTCTTATCAATTGCAAAGATTCTAATATGGATCTCAACATGCTAAGGTCCATGTTAGAATCTTAATAATGAGAGTAGCTGCTAATATTGTCTAATATTTTTGTCCAGAGTAAATTAGAATTATAAATGAAGGTCACATACAAGAAACTCACATACCAATGTGAACAACAAAGGAAAAATGAGGAGTATAAAAAGGAGAGATGATTTTTATTTCTTCCAAATGGTCGGCTTTAATATATGCTTATGGAATGAATAAATAGATATATTTTACCAAATGAAAGTATTGATACAAATTTTGTATTTGTTGTATATTTTGAATTTAACATTAAGAACTGTTTCATAATTTTTGGATGAGTGTTTCAAATGAAATTAAAATTACTTTTAAAAGTCCGAAGTATAGATTCATCATTTTAAAAATTACTTTTAAAAGTCCGAAGTATAGCTTCTTATTCTTTAAAAAATTAAAAAAAAAATAATTTTATAAACCTTTACTCTGCAAAGACTAAAAACTATGACTTTCAAATAATATTTGAAATATGTAAATTTTTAAGAGATAGTATTAAATTTCAAAAATCTAATAAGGCAAAATATATTATAAACTACTGGTTGTAACTTAAATGAATTTAAGCACAAATCATATATCACATATTACATAAAATATATGTAGATGTGATTACGATCTCAGAAAATAAAACTCTAGAAACTTCAAAGTGATCATATAGTAACATATACAATTATAAAAAAGAATATATGAGGATATCAACTATAAATTATGTGAAGTTATTAAATTTTATTTATTAATAAGCAATGATCTAAAACTTGTTAAGAATCGATGTGCTACATAATATCATCAATGATGTATTAAAATGATTGGTAGAAGCAGTTGATAAAGAGATTCAGAAATGTCAAACAATTGCTGGTTTTATATTCTTTATATTTTATTAGAAAAGCAATTCATATTCATGCTAACAATCAGTTTTTATTTTCCATAAATATTGCTTGAATTCCCCAAAAACATTCTCCAGAATTAACCATTTAAAACTCATTCATATTAAAAAATAAGCAGAGAAGCTGAGTAGACATTTCTCCAAAGAGGACATCCAATGGCCAACAGACATAAAAAAATATGCTAAACATCACTTTTCATTAGGAAAATGCAAATTAAAATTATAATGAAATATTAGCTCACTCTTTTAACAAAGGTTATCATTTAAAAATCAACAAATAACAAGTGATGTGAAGAAAATGGAACCTTCACTCAATTTGGTAGGTTGTAAATTCGCATTGCCACTATGGAGAACAGTACGGAGATTCCTCAAAAAATTAAAAATAGAGTTGCCATATGACCCAGCAATACTCTTCATGGATATTTATCTGAAGAAAACAAAAACATGAATTCAAAAAGACATGCAGCTTTAGATCACTGCAGCATGACTGACAACAGCAATGATATGAAAGCAATGATATATTCATCAGTAAGTGAGTAGAAAAAGAAGAGGTGGTACATACATACGATAGAATATTAATTTGTAAAAACAGGAATAAAATCTTACTATTTGGGACAAAATGGATGGTCCTAGAGGGTATTCTGCTAAAGTGAAATAAATAAGAGAAAGACAAATACTGTAGGATTTTACCTATGTGTGAAGTCTAAAAAACCAACCTACAAAACAAAACAAAGGAACAAAACAAAACAACAGATCTACAGGTATAGAGAACAAGCTGATGGTTGCCAAAGGATAGTAGTAGGGTGGGGAAATAGGTGAAAATGTTGAGTGCCATGCACTTGAGATTGATTCTTTATTTCTCTACTCCCAAGCCTCATTCATATATTTTATTTTATAGACCTAAAAAGTAAGCAAGAATGATTGTGGTAAACAGTCTAATTACATAAAGTAGCTAATATATTTTTATACTACAACAATTTGAAAGCAATTTTTTGTTTATTGAAGAAACCTTCTTGTCATGAAACTTATTCAAGATTTTTTGCTGTCAGAGTTTTAGTTTCCTAGGGCTGCTGTAACAAATTACCACAAATTGGGTGGCTTACAATAGCAGAAATTTATTCTCTGACTGTTGTGGAGGCTGGAAGTTTGAAATCAAGGTGTCAGCACAGCTGGCTCCTCCTGAAGACTCTGATGGAGAATCTATTTCATGCTTCTCTCCTAGCTTCTGATGGTTGCCAGCAGCCCTTGGCTTCCCTTGGTTTGCAGATGTATCGCTCCAATCTCTGCTTCCATCTTCATGTGTTTTCCCTCTGTCCCTGTCTCTTCCCAGCTTCTTACAGGGACACCAGACACATTTGATAAAGGGCCTGCCCTGCTCCAAATTGTCCTAACTACTAGTACTTACATCAGCAATGACCATATTTTCAAATAAGGTTACATTCTGAGGTTCCGTGAAGGACATGGATTTTAGAAGGACACTATCCAACCCAGTGCTGTCAGTTTCATTAATATTAACGAAAAAAATTCCCATAGTATATAGATCTAAAAATAATTGATGAAACAGATGAAACACTGTTGAATATAAGAGTGTGATCTTTTGTGTGTTGATCGGGTACTTGGATGGGAACTTACCGTTGAGAATCTCTCTCACTAATAAATATGACTTCATGCAAAAAAGAAACATTTTTCTAGGTGCATTTTTTGTTTCTAATTTGAGCACATTGTTCCCTAGAATATTTTCTATTAGTGATTTCAATAAAGAATTGTTCAGATTTGAATAAAGCCTATAGAGTAGAAGCAGTCAATAAGCTTTGAAACTAAAGTTACATATTACAAAGGTAGATAAAATCAGTCAAAAGTGAACTTAAGTATTTAATTCTTATCTTATGTACATGTAATTATATAGCTATTTTATTCACTTAGAATCACCAATTTATAATATATAACCATAATTGATAAGATGCATTTTCCTGAATAATGCCAAGATAAACCCATCTGTCCAATTTTGAGATGCTGCTGCTCTTTTAGTTGAATTTTCTGTGCCATATTAATATTACCTACATTTTCTCTGTGAGAAAAAAAATGCTAAAAATGCTCAATGTCCACACATATGACCAGATACTTATATAAATATATATCCCCATAATTTCTTGTGTTAATCTGTCCAGGTGAGAAACTGTGAGGGAACACTTGAAGGATTAGATGATTGTAACTTTCTCATAATTTGATAGCTGCTCTAAGCTTGGCTGAGCGCCCTCTGGGGTTATCCTGTACATCCCGATTTTCTGGGGTAAGCACCTTCTTATGTATCAATTCCCACATTAAAGGGGCCCTTCCTAGAGAGACTCCTTCCTTGTTTTCATTCCTTGAAGCCAATTGTGATGTTTGTGCCACCTTCTGTCTTACACTTAGATTAAATCTTTCTGTCATGCTTATCCCAAGCAAGAATCGTTTGACAATGCGATCCTCTAGGGAATGGAAGGAGAGTGCAACAAGACGACCACCAGGTCTCAGAAACTTCTGAGCTGTCTTCAGTCCGGCATAAAGTTCATTGAGTTCATTGTTCACAAATATGCGGAAAGCTTGGAAAGTCTTGGTAGCAATATGGGTAGATCGTTGTAGCAAGTCTTTTCGTGCATAAATAGCAGCAGGAGGAAATGCACCTATAAACAGATTTTGTGAAAATAGGAAAAGAGGACAGGTAACATTAATATTTTCTACTGTAAATGTACTAGGTTGTGCATATATTTAAGGCATTAAATTTCCTTTGAAAATTGTAGCATTTAATCAGTACTTTCCCATTTTATTTCAAGCATTTTAACAAAGCTTAAAACCTATTTCATAAATCATAAAAAGATACTAGAGTCAAATAGGAGCAGAAAAGAAGTTCTCAGCTACAAGATGTTCAATGATGCCCCAAAATAGAATAAACAGAGGAAATTGCACCTAGCACATTATAATCAAACCCTACTAGAAGCAAAAGATAATGAGAAAAATCTTGACTACAACAAAGTAAAACAATACATTAAACAAAGGAGAACAAAAATATGATTAATAGCTAATTTCCCATTAGGACAATAGAGGGTATAAGGCACTGGGATGATATTTAAATAGCTAAGGGGGTAAAAATCTGTCTTCCAATAAAAGACTATTCTAAAATTATTCTTTAAAATTAAAGGTTCAAAGACATTTTCAAATAAATTAAAAATAATCCACAAAATACTGTTTAACATAAAAGTAGATAAAAGAAAAGAACAGGATGCGACAAAGAGAAGATAACTAGCAAAAGGATAAACAATAATTCTAAATACATATAGTAGGAGGACTCACACAGATTTCAAAATTTACTACAAAACAACAGTAATTGACATAGTCTGATACTAACACAGCACTAGACATAAGATAAATGAAATTTAATTGGAAGCCTAGAAATAAAACCATATAATTATGATCAACTGATTTTTGACAACAGTGCCAAGTGCATTCAATGGGGAAAGATTAATCTTTTGACAAATGGTACTGGGATAACCAGATAGCTACATAAAAAGAATGAAGTTGAACCCTTAAATCATACACAAAAATTAACTCTAAAAAGATCAAAGACTTACATGTGAGAACAATAACTGTAAAACTCTTAAATGAAAACACAGAGATAAATCTTCATGACTTAGAATTTGGCAAATGCTCTTATTTAAAACACACTAAACTCATAAGTAACAAAGAAAAAATAAAGTAGACTTCATCAAAATTAAAAACCTTTGTCTTTCAAAGGACACTACCAAGAAAGTAAAAAGACAGCCCAAAGAAATTGGGAAAAATTTGCAAGTTATATATCTGATAATAAATTTATATCTAGCATATGTAAAAGAAGCAAAGTAAAAAGTAACACATATGATACTACTTTATATAATATTTTAAGTCATGCAGATCAGTCACGCTGCATCTAATTTTCAAGATAAACATAAAAATCCTAATTTTTAAACAAATCAATAAATATAATTTCCTTAGACTTACACCCACTGGCATACAAATGATATTAAAGTATAACGTTCAATGAATTTATACAGGTGTCCTTATTTGATTTAGGTGCCAATTCCTAAAGAATATTGTCCCACAGAGAAATCTTTCCAGTCCAGATTTCCTACAAATGAAGATCTGAAAGCATGACTGCAATCCTGAAATTTGAGTATCTATAGTGTGCTTCTACCCAAGCTGGAACCTCTGTTCACATCCTAGTCATCTATAGTAAATGCATCCCACATCCCAAGTACACTAACACACATGTGATTACTCTTCTCAGGGAACTGGATCAGAGAAGGGAAGAAACAATGTACCCAGGAGCTGAGAACCTGGCATCTAACTTTAACTACATCAGTGTTCTACGTTCACTCCTTCCCTGCAAAAACTACCTTGCTAAAAGGCTAGAAAATGGTAGACATCAGGGAATTTATCTTCCAACAACCATGTCTCTCAGAAACAAAATGTCAAAGTCAAAGCTGGAGGGGGAGGTCAGCTTCTTGCCATTTGCTATTTAATTTAATCATTTTCCAGGGAAAGAGTTTTGGTCACCAAGGAAGGTGATTCAAAACATTTTAAGCATCTGAACAAACATGCAATTCCATACTTTAGAGCTTGAATTTAGAGGACACTTGAGGAAGGTTGCATTCCTTAAGACCTTGCATGATTCAATTCTTGCATAATTCAAAACAAATTTTCTCAAAGGAGAAATGTAATATAAAATACATTTTAATGTGCATGGATAAAGTAAAATAGGAGGTAAACATTCATGAAACAAAAGGATTAACAAACACTGTGGGATATTTTTGCTTTAATTTTTTGAAAAAATTTTTCTTAACATTGTCTTTAGCATTTTGTAAAAAAATAAAAGTATAGCTCAATGTGGTAATTGCCTAGCTCCCTTGATATTTTATCACATTTCAAACATATATAGGGGTTAGCAAAAATAGGTTTACAGTTGTGAATACATGAAACATTGTATTATTTTCCATAAACCTCCTTTTGCCTACTCCTGTATATTTGAGGGTGTGGTTTTTAACATAGCAATGAATTAGCTATGCCTGGGAATGTGTTAACAAAACTGAGGAAATTAAAGAAAGGCAGATAGCTTAATGAATACTTCCTTGATATTGTTATTAAATATACAGGGTGTCCCCCCAAAATGTATACACACTGAGTGACTATAAAGCCAGTGTTGATTAGCATACAGTTCATTTTCAAAATTTAAAGGAATCTACAGAAATGAATAATTATTTTTGTTAATGCCTATTTTCAAACTGATGACTATTCTAGTCCAGACATTAGAAGCAATGGAATTGCAAATATCAAGAATCATTTTGTTTGGCATTTGTGCACCCTCAATTTGTCAACTGTTGCTGCTTTTATACCATAAATGTTATCTTTTATGTATTTCCATAAAAAAAAAAGTCTAGTGGCACTTTAGGGTAAATTTTCTTTGCTCAAAGCTTAGTTTGGCCTCACCCATTATTTCAAATCAGTTAAACCTAAAAAGCAGTGAAAATTAAGTGAGCTAGCAGATATTAAAGTATGTACACATTTTTTTAGGACATCCTATATTTTTGAAAACTAATGAAAATAGGAAATGTTAAAATAACCAAATAATGTATGAAATCACGAGAAAAGTTCTAATATAAACAACAACATTGTTTCAATTGACATGACACAGTATGGTAGGCATTTCTGATTACCAGCTAAAATGACATTTTCTTATGGCAGAATTATAGTTTATAATTCATTCAGCCAGCTAGATGTGAAACTATATTGCTGACTAGTTCTTCTAGTGAGTGAATCTGTTTTATTTTGAAGTATTCAGATCAAGTGAGGCTTTATTAATATTTTATATTATGTAACTTCAAGTTTATGTTATTTATAGTCACTCTTAAGCACATCCACAACTGTATATGAATCCCTAAGCTAATAGTGTAATACCACTGTAATGACAAGCTTTTCTTTATAAGATCTCATTAGCCCCTGCCAATACCATATTATGGAGAAAGAAAATAAAAGCTTTCACTTATGCTGAGGAATGGATAGTCTTGAAGAAAACAAAATAACTCCAATTCAAGACACTTTTCTTCTGAGGCTTTCTTACTTTTGTTCAGGGAACTCTAATCTGGACTATGTTCACTGGGTTTCTTGAAAATAATTTCTAGGTGTGATTCTGTCAACTTCCTGAAGTCCCATATTTAGGGACTAGGAGATGATAAGGGCAACGTGCTTTGTGGACCTTTTTATGCAGCTCTCCCCAGAGGCACACATCCTCCCTTATTTTAGATAGGTTCCATTACTAGGGCTCCCTTCCTTTATACAGGCCCTTTTGCATTTGTAATTCATAGGGAAAAAAAGGTTGATAATGCAGACTGTGAAAAATGAAATAAAAGAGAAGCAAAAGAATATAAAACAGCCTATCAAAATGGAAATTAAAGTAATAAAAAAAAAAACCATAAACTGGCAATGGTACAAATACTCAAGAAGACCCTAATACAAAAAATTAAGCAAGTTTATTTGTTTAAATTAGATAGTTTAAAAATGCCTGGCTGAAGTGATTCAGTGGTTGAGCATTGAATTATGAACCAGGAGATTAAGGTTTGATTTTCTGTCAGGACTCATGCCTGGATTGTGGGTTTGATCCCCAGTGTGGGGTATGCATAGTCAATGATCAATGATTTCCTCTCCTTTCCTCTCTGAAATCAATAAAAAAAAATATATATTTTTTTTTAAAAAAAGAAGAAAGAAAATGTAAATATAATTCAGCAAATGACCTGTGGCTCTCAAGTAGCAAATGTGTTTCCTTGTGAAATTCACTGGTCAGAGTGTAAGGAACAGCACTCTCTCAGATATACACAGTGTAGTAGGGGCATTTGCGTAGTAAGCATGAAAAACTAAAATTCAAAACTACACCAGATCCAATGCCTAACCATGTGCTGGATTCTGAATCAGGCCCATGGAAGGAAATATTAATGAGGCCTGGTCCCTGCCCTTGAGGAGCATACCGCTTTGCAATCCTTCGTCACCTCTTTCTCATCTCCCATATCCTGCTATCAAAAATAGAAACTGGTCTCTGCTTTTCAATTTCCTGAGTTTAATTACAGAATCTTGTATGGCTAATTCATTTGATTAAGGCATACAGCTAGACAGAAAATATGGATGCAATCACAACGTAGGCCATTTGGCTTGGTACGGAGAGAAAAACTTCCTGTGTTTTATGGGCTGATGTACATTAGATCTAAGTGGGTGGAAGTGTACTAACCACTAGTCTAACAATTACTACATTTTACCATAATTACTAGTTTACTTGTCTACCTTACTCACTTGACTCTGGTCTCCTTGTGAAGAGAACCTATTCCGTGTTCAATCTTTCAATCTTGCGCTTAACTGAGAAGTTTATGATTCTTAATCCTGAATGCACACCAGGGTCACTCATGGAGATTGGAAAAAATAAAGATTCCTGGCCCCAGTCCAAAACTACTGAATTAGTTTCAGGGGTTTATTACACAGGAATCACTGCTTTAAAAAAGCTTCACAGAAGATTTTGACTTGCAGCCAAGATTAAAAACTACTATAGTAAATACTCAGTAAATGATTGTTGAAAAGATAATAAATAGATAATGATTGAAACACATTA